AGTATGAAAAGGTAATTAAGAATGATGATGATAATTCTCTTTAAAATCATTGAATGTTAAGTATAAACGATGAATTAAAATCATTAAGTTTAAACAAAGAAGATTACTAATGAAAAGCTCGTAAAGGAACGTAGCCTTTAATTACAATATCCTTAAAATCAGCAGCGCCATTACGTAACTCTAGTGGAAATCGTTGGGGTGAGAATTACTAAAATAAAATATTAGTTTATGAAAGACATCGGCTTATAATTGATACTCATTAATTAACAAATCAAACGTAAAATACCAAAACCAAGTGCTTGACATTTATTTGTATTTTAGTTTTGGTTTTCGTTTCAAGTACTATCGTCTGTCTTCGGTTGGAATAAGCTGTCATCTTCGAAAAATAATTTCCAATGTGACCCATCAGCATATTGTGAAGAATTATATAAACGCAGTCATATTAGGCTGTATGGACATAGAACCTTTTACCTTGAATTAAAAATAAAAACTAAGCTTGCTGGAGTTGCACTACTGGACACATCGTATATATGAGAATGGTGTGTTTTGGGTAGTGAAAGTCAAACTATTCGTACATCAAACTTTTTTTTAAATAGAAATATGTCAAAAGCGATGCAATACATAGGACTTCATGCTTTAAGGTCCGATGTAATATTATCTCTGATGTTTTGTAATCACATTGTATGCAAATACAGCACGGACAAGGTTTATGATCTATTGTGCTATTACGTAAAATGTTGCATTAAATAATGACCATATTAGTCATAGTAATGTTATTGTGCCCATAAATAGTTGTGTACCCATAAAAGCCGTAGTTCAAGGCTAAGCGTACCAGTAAATTTCAATGTACGCGAGAGTTGGAAACGTCCAGAACCAATGAAGTTGTTAGTTGCAAGTTTATGTGTTAATTTACTACGTTCTCGGCGTTGAGGAATACATGGTAAGGAAATTTGCAGGCCTGAGAAATATAATATTTGCAGGACATTATCCGTCACCACTCTCTGGAGCAGTTCATAATTTAAGTTCTCCGTAACCGTTTCCGAAATGAGAGAAGGCCATGTGCCCAGATGTGGGAAGTTTAATCTTTACTTACTTTATTCATTTATATAAAATGAATTAAATTTACTGCCTCGTTGCTCCAGTGATAGTAAAGTCGACTGCTGATTATATGGTCACGCGTTTGAATCCCAATTAGGGCCAAAAAGAAATCAGTTATTCTGTTTTTCTATCAAGAAATTCTCAGTAAAAGCCCGGAGTCAGGAATTCACACCCCGGTAAACACGTAAAGCCGTTAGTCCTGCGCCTGATCTCTCTCCGGTCGTGTCGGTTTACCGTCCCATCGGACTATGAGAGTGAGGGAATAGAGTACTGTGAAATTTACGGCGAGCTCATAACCTCTGAGTTACCACAGTTTATAAGCTGCTTGAGGCTTATCTGCTCGGGTTTGCTATGTCTGAGCATTTTGCTACAACACTGCTAGGTCGTAGGTTTGAATCAAAACACTTTTTAATGCATTGGTATGGCCTGGCCTACAAATAATATTCCCGGTGCTTGAGGTTTGTCCAGACGGCTGAATGTAATAGTGCCAAAAACTTGCGGAACAAATTCGTAATAAAATTACATATGCTCCGTTTTTTTTTTAATTTGTAATGGACTCGTACTCTCGTACTTTTGCCAGTGTCAAGTAATAAAATATAAGAATTTAAAATAAAACTAAACACGCCTTGATCATGTGCTTTGATGATCCTGATAATTATTTTATTTCATCCTGGTGATCCTGATCAGGATACTAGGATAAAGTTATTATTGTATGACCATCTACAAGTTAATAAAAATTACATTAAGAAATTCCGTTACATAGATAGGTAAGAACGAATCTTCAAGAAGTTAAAAGTCCACAAGGAAAAAATGAAATCGGCCGCAATAAATTCTTACCTGCTGCCAGAGGCCCCTTTCTTGCCACATGCCATAAAGTGGCTTAAGTTAATTTTGCTCACAACCATGATGAAGATTAGAGTCAATTTCTATTAACAGATGAGTCTAGATTTTCCCTGAAGCCAAAAGATAGAAGGATTAAAATACACGCGACGCTAATAAAAACATGTTAAAAACGCTCCCATCATACAGTTAAATATGCTATTGTTTTTTAAACGTAACGTTTTTTTTTTAAATAAAAAGAAAAAAATGATTGTCTAATATTGCTAACTATGGAAAACCTTGTGGTATTACCCACTATTATCCTTACGACACCCACGGGACGAAATGGAGTGACGGACGCATTTACATCACCACTACAAGTCAACTACGCCGTGTCAATACTTCAATTCATATTTAAGACATGCAGCTCATTATCGTCATTCTTAATATACATCGTTCTTAATACACCGTCGAGCCATGAATGATATATTGGTAATAAATTATACAGGATCGATTTATGGGTAGAATTACGTCCATTACATCACAAAATGGCCGAGTCGTCCAACCGGTTCAGTGTCATTTATGCTGATACTTCATGGATATAAAATGGATAATTACAAACACTTACGGTGTACTCAAAGCTATTATAAATCCAGTAGGTGATTAAAAAATGGTTTTATTCAAAATCTTAATTACATAGTATCCTTACAGAAACGTGAAGACCTAAATACATTTAATCATTAAAATAATATGTTAAAACCTTCAATATACAGTATGAAAATCCCTGCCTTCGAAATATCTCGCTATTATTAAAAATTAAAAATGTGGTACAACCGCCTTCAATGTAAATTAAGAATAACTCAGAAACGCTTGGTCAGACCTTGATCAATTTATATGAGACCGCCTGTGATGCACCAGCTTTCAAATAAAAAAAAGAATCATCGAAATCGGTTCACCCACAAAAAAGTTATAACGTAACACACATAAAAAATACATACAGTCGAATTGAGTACCTCCTCCTTTTTGAAGTCGGTAGGAAATAAAATAAAATAAAGTTAAAGAGGAAAGTTCGTGCAACACTTACTGGTACGAGTAAATTGAATCAAAACATTCTAAATATAAAATTTCTTCGAAATCGTAAGAGATTTTTTTAATATAGGTAATAAGGGTGAGAAATGAGCAGATAGTCCACTTAATGGTAAGTGGATGCTGTAGCCCATAGACATCTACATCTATCCTCGATTAAGAATCCAAAATGCAGATGCCTTGTCACCCGTGAAGACTAATGAATGGAATGCCTGGTTACAAGTAAAAAGGGTATCCGGTTCTCCACACTCACCATACGAAACACAGCAGCATTGAGCTGCTATTTCACGCTGGTATTCTGAGAGAGTGTGGTCTTTTCCCGGTCAAGCCGACCCATTCGTGCTACAACTATACAATTAATATAGCTGCAGGATGACTCTACCACATAACACCAATTACACATACATGCATACATATATAATATATAGCATCGTTATTCTCTTGAATATAATATACAAGGGGATAACGTCAGACACGATTAAATATGCAACGCTTTCTTACGATTGTATTGTACTAATATAATAGATTGTTATTTCAAGTTCGCTCTATTGGATTACATGTTTTCATAACTATATCGCAAAGAGCCAAAACTATGTCGTTTTAAGTTTTGAATATGAAATAAAAATATAACCTGATACTAAAAGTTACAGTCTAATTAAGTTTCTTTAAATTAAGTTATATTAAAGTTGGAAAATTTTTACTTTACCAATACCCGCCCAATAAACTCTGCGGTCTACTACACCTGAAGATGCCTCGTGTAGAGGCGAAACACGTGTATCTTTCCTGGTGTAGTGTGTGCTGGGATTAGTGGTGACGGGGATAGTGCACGCAATTTAGGGAGGGCGGAAGGTGCTCTTCACACTAGGTAAGACACGTCATTTTATTTTATTGAGCGGATATTAGGAAAGTAAAAATTGTTCAACTTTAAGACAGTATTATAGCATGTAAAACATTCCATAATAGTTCTCTGAGGTGACAACGCATCAGTAACCTTATTTTTTAATTCAGAACAGATTGTAAGCAACGTAGAAACATTCGCAACTCTTACTATAAATAAAACAGCGATCATTCGGCCGGTCGTCTGTTTATTTTTGTCTGTGCGTTGTAAATGATGCGAAAGCGTACAAAGAAAGTAAATAGGTTTAGAGTTTGATTTATTTATTTGCTAGTCTTTATATAAACGGAAAGCCGCAGTTGTTTCGTCTCTGCCAAAAGATTCCACTGATTTAAATACGAAAGAATGTGGTTAATTGCGACAGTGGCTAAATCCTACTATCCTACTATATAATATTATAAATGTGAAGGTTTGTGAAAAAAAAAATATAACTCATACATCAGAACAACACAAAGGCTACAATTAGAATAGAATGGAATAGAATAGAATGATTTTTTATTCAATATTAATTATTACATAATACTTATTGAAAGTCATTTTATATTTACCACTGGTTGGGACAATACCTCTGTCCTGGGAAGAACCAGCAAGAAACCCAGCGGGACTTTTTTTTTCATAAAGACATTGTGTAAATTGGCCAAAATATAACGATATAAATGTTAAGTAAATCTGAAAAAGTTCTGTCATCTGTCATCTATTTTGGCGAGACGTGTAAAAAACTTGATATTTTATTTCCATTGCACATTTTGCAGTAACAAATTGATTTTTATCAAAATAAATAAATTTGTTGCATCTGATATTCAAAGTAGATAAACTTTGTCTTTTAAACTATGTAATTTAGATAGCTGATGTTATATGAACTAGGCTACATTTATGAAGTCGCGGGAACAGCTAGTCTTCCATTAATGCGTCAATTTATGGGAAAGGCCTATGTTCAGCAGTGGACTTGTGTTAGGATGTAATGGATGGATGAATGGATTTTATAGACATTTTCAAGAAAGATATACCCGATTTCAGATGATTTGACTTTTGTCTAACGTCTAATCTATTGTTGCAGTCACCTGCCCAGTACAACTCCCTTAACATTTCTTTTTTTCTGCAGGTGCATTAATAGGGGGTATTCTCGGTGGGATAACAATGAGATTGGGAAGACGGTCGGTACTCCTGGCTGCCGCGCTACCTTACACCGTCGCTTGGCTTGCGACGGCTCTCTCCACCAGTGTCGACATGATATCAGTGACGTCCTTCTGCGGCGGCATGCTAGTCTGCTGCATTACCATGATTACTCAGGTTTGTGTCTACTTTTTTATTAATTGAAGTTACTAACGAACTCACAGTACAGCTAATGGTAAGTGGCTATTAAAACCTACTTTTTTATAGGATAGGGTGACAAACGATTCTTTTACGAAACGGTTCTTTTACGTGGTAGAGCCATGCTGCAGCTATAAGTTGTAGCACGAATGGGTCGTCTCGACCGGGGAAGGACCACACTCTCACAGAATACCAGCGTAAAATAGCAGCTTAACGCTGCTATGTTTCGTATGGTGAGTGTAGGGAAACGGAGACCCTTTTTACTGGAAAAGAGGCATTCCATTTAGTCCTCACGAGTGACAACGCATCTGCATTTTGATTCTTTATTGAGGATAAATGTAGATGTCTATGGGCCACAGCAACCACTTACCATCAGGTGGTCTGTGTGCTCGTTTGTCACTCGATCCTATACAAAAAAAACGAGCACACAGTCAACCTGATGGTAAGTGGTTACTTGTAACCCATATACATCTACATCTATCATCAACAAATAATCAAAATGCAGATGCGTTTTCAGTTGTGAGCACTAAGATGGAATGCCTCTTTTTCAGTAAAGTGTCTCCGGTTCTCTACACTCACCTTACAAAACACAGCGGTGTTAAGCTGATCCATTCTTCTACAACTATACTACTAATATAGATGCGTGGTCACCTCCTAGGAATAAGATCGACTGCCTTACAACTCTTAATTATACTGACTCTCGTTTCAAAGAAGCACACAAAAAACTTCATCAAAATCGGCCCAGCCGTTTAGTAGGAGTCCAACAAATTCACTTTCTTTTCTTTTATAGTTTCTTTGTGGTTCTTTTCACGATGGAGGTTTTTCAAAACCAGTGGTATAATTAAAAATGTCTTACATATTTAAAATGTATTTCTATTTTAAAAACTCTTTGGATGATGGTTGCGAGTAATATCTACAAAAAACAAAACGGTAATTATCTATTGTTTGTCAAAACAAAACTGATACTTTCACAATTAATCCAGAGCTTATTTTTATATAAAAACATCTAATTAATCGGACTGTACGGTATGCGCTATTGTTTCCATACGTTGTTTGAGGCTGCAGACCTATTTTATAGAGTTACAAATCGTGTAGAAATGGCGCTTGTTATATTTTTTGTGTTTCGCACCAACTTACAGAACCGGACCTTTTTATTACGAAAGGTTATTTTCTGAGTTTGTCACATTTATTCATTTACTAGCTATTCTCCAAGACTTCGCCCCCGTGTAATTTAGGGTTTTAATTTTATTGCGCGGAACCCTAATTATTTTTCTAAAATATTAGTAGCCTAAGTTACTCCTTATAACATGAGCTATCTGCCAGTGAAAGTCCCGTCGAAATCGGTCTAGCCGTTTCAGAGATTAGCCGGTACTAACAGACATATGAACAAAATTTTTAAAAATTGTGTTTTTGTTATATAATTGTACCGTATATGCTTTCATATATAATGTTATTTTAACATTACAAACAGACACTTCAATTTTATTTATTTGTATAGATGTATATATTACAGCCTGTCAAAAGTCCACTACCGAGGAAAGGCCTCCCCCATACATTGCTTCATTGGCGGGAGGAGGGGGGGGGGATATTTTGAATAGTAGCAACGCTTGATTGGTGGGTTGGAAACCACAGTATTTAATTACGTTAAGTTGTTATGTACACTACTAACTAATAAAATATTACAGAACTTCTGGTTATCAAAATAATTATTTTTATTTTATAGGATAAGGGTGACATACAGACCACCTGATGGTAAGTGGATGCTGTGGCCTATAGACATCTTTATCTATTACGAACTAACAATCAAAATGGAGATTCGTTGTCACCCCTGAGACCTAAGATGAAATGCCTCGCTTCCACTTAAATAGGTTTTCGGTTCTCTACACTCATCCACCATACGAAACACAGGAGCTACAGACCTCCTGGTGATTAAAAAGATATGTCCAATAGCATATAACTATGTCGTGTAGTGGTGTAAGTGAATCCACTACCCATATCATCCAGTTGGTAACAGGGATAAACAGGAGAATAGCAGCAGGATCTTACTGATAACAACTCTTTATACGTGGTAGAGCCATGCTGCAGCTACATTATGGTTGTAGCACCAATGGGTCGGCTCGACTGGGGAAGGACCACGCTCGCACAGAATACCGGCGTAAAATAGCAGCTTAACACTGCTGTGTTTCGTATGGTGAGTGTAGAGAACCGGAGACCCTTTTTACTGGAAACGAGGCATTCCGTCTTAGTCCTCACGGGTGACAACGCATCTGCATTTTGATTCGTAATCGAAGATACATGTAGATGTCTATGGGCCAACCACTTACCATCAGGTGGACTGTATGCTTGTTTGTCACCTTTATACTATAAAAAAAAAACTCTAAATAATTTAAAATTACAAATTTTGTACAACCGACTTCAATATAAATTATTAAGAATAACTCAAAAACTATTAGTCAGACCTTGACGAATATATGGGCCAATTTATATTGAACCACATGAGAAGCACCAGTTTTCAAAAAAAATGTAATCATCAAAATCAATTCATTTAGTAAAATGTAATTAGGTAACACACATAAACAAAACATACAGTCGAATTGAGTACCTCCTACTGTTTGAAGTCGGTAGAAAATGTAATTATGCTGGCTTTCATATCCTTCACGTTGGACCAGCATAGCATAGCACTTGGCGGCAGAAACAAAAAACGGTCACAAAGTACCATCGTCCAAGATTTAATAATATGTAAGTAAAAACACGTTTCTAGTAAAAGAGCCCCTTTTAAATTTTAATTTATTATTATTTTTATCATATAAATATATTATAATAAAATTTCAACAGTCTACCTATTACGGTTCATGAGATACAGCCCGCTGAGAGACAGACGGACGGTCAGCGGAGCTTAGTTATAGGGTGCCGTTGGTTACCCTTCGAATACGGAACCCTAAAAAGGGAATTTACTAACAAAGTAAGATTTCTAGGTAGAAAAGAAACATTGCTACATCGTTATCACAAACCGCCATAGAGCTCATTTAATTGATATAATTTATATTTTGTATATCATTTCATTTACATTCCGTTAGTGCACTCCGAGAAATTCGCGTGCAGTGCATAATTAAAATGAATCACTCATTAATGTAACCACTTTCTTTTTCTGTCGTTGTGAATAAGTTATGTTCATCTTTCTAGATACTTATCAATGTCAGTTCTACATCATAATAATGGAAAACTTTATTTGATTGTGTCATATATAAATCTCTTTTTTAACTTTCATCTTTACGTGTTAGAGTCAGGTTGCAGCTAATAGCTGGTGCACGCACAGGTTGGCTCCACTGAGGTAGGACAACGCTTTTGTAGTATACACCAGAATAATAATGCTGTGTTTCTTATGTTGAGTGTCGAGAATCGGTAACCTTTTTAACTGGTAACGAGACATTCCATCTAAGTTCTCAGGGGTAACAACGCATCTGCATTTTGATTCTAAATCGATGATAGGTGTAAATGTCTATGGGCCCACCCATAAGGTGCTTCAACTTCCAAAAAGTGGACTGTGTGCTCGTTCGTGTCTCTCATTCTATAAAAAAATAAAAATAAAAACTACCCTATACTATAAGTGGGCAATCATTGAACATATATTATGTATTTAAATGAAACTAATTTTACGGATTTTATCGCGTATATTAACTAATAAGTTAATATACGCGATAAAATCCGTAAAATTAGTTTCATTTAAATGTGTAGTGTTCGCGTAAATATAAGAAATCACTATATATTATGTATATATGTGACTGGTTTCTCAAAAACATCTCGAATAATTTGGATGACAACTTTATATTTAGATAATATTTTACTTTCAAAGTTGATCTCAGGTTAAGTAGCTAGAGTTTTTACCCAATAAATATTTCTGTTGCCCTGATAAATAAATATTTCAACCATGCCAATAAAATAAATGCAGAATATCGTTCCAATGAGTTCACTATTCTATACCACCCATGATGGTATGAAATAATGGATTCTCATCCACAGCCACATAACAATCTTTAAAATGACCCTAAAAGGCGAAACCGACTAAATTATACATATAAAACAAGTAAAGATAATTGAGAGTATTTCACAATCCCCATAAAAAAATAATAAACAATAGAATTCTACAAAGAGATAGTAATTCCAAATACGAATATATTAAAATACACATAACAATCCGTAGCATTTGAATCAGTTACTTTTAAACTCGATAACATTACAATTGTATCCACTACTAACGTTGACATAACATTATCGTTTTCATAATAAAACTCATTCACTAAACAATCGGCTCAAATTGATCTAATCAATCGCATGGATGACGGTTATATTGAAAAATCACAAGTTCGCACGACCGCCATTATATTCAACAATACAGCATAATTAGAAACTGTTTACACGCTCACGACACACGAACGTCAAGCAAATCGTTGATACAAAATCTTAAATGATTCAACGGGTAGTATTGTATTATAATATTAAAACAGAAATTTAAGAAAATTTGAATTTCCTATTTCTATATCATATTGCTTTTATAGTTAACATCTACTTACTACTGAAGCATATTATTTTGTATAAAATACTAAATATAGAAACTTTCAGGGTCAATAATCGGCATTGTGTTATGGCAAGAGATATCACAAAAATATTTTTAGACCATCTTAACTAAATAGATTGAAACTGCTATTTTTACAGCACAGATCAGCACAAAATCTACTTGATAGTAAGTGGAATGAAGTTCATATACACCAACAACTGTCCCTGATTAAGATTAGAATAGAATAAAATAAGTCATTTATTATGTTATTTGTAGGTTTAAGAGATTTAACGTTCACATACTTAGAATCAAAATGCAGATGCGTTGTCACTTCTTAGAAGTAAGTTGGAGCGCCTTATTGTAATTAAAAAGGGCCTACGCTTCTCGGCTTTCACCACACACAGCAGCAAATTCCACTATTTCT